TGCAGGAGCGCAGTGATGGGGGGACGACGGCGACCACCCTCCAGATCACCCCCCTCCAGCTCCCAAGGCTCGGGAAGGGCCTGCTGGCACCGCGGAGGGAGCGGCACCGCTTTGCTCCGGAAAACCAGTCGGGTCAGGAAACGCGCTGGGAGGAGTCCCCGGCTCGTGGGTGTTGCTTGGCGCAGCCCAAATCCCTGCCCGTGGCTCCGCTCCGACCCCCCCAAGTGCCTGGCATGGACGGACCTGCTGCACCCGAGGGCAGATGGGACCCACCTGGCCGGGATCCGCTGGAGGCTGCTCATGGCCACCATCCCAGACGTCTCCATTGGGCCCCAGGTCCATCTAAAAGGCCACCCATGGATAAGGCCAGGCATGGCCTGCCCATGGAGCCACCCATGGGGCAACCTGCCAGAGGGCATTGGGGACACAGACGCCTTTTCCTGCCACCCGACATGTCCCTGCGTGAACCCACCTCTGCCTCCCGGCGGCTCCTCTTGGGTTCAGCATCCTTCTGGGCACCATCCTGAAACGCGGCGCAGGTGGATGGGAGGGGGGCCGGCAGCCAGCCGGGGCCCACAGTGGTGCTGCGGGACGGGACGGGACGGGATGGGGTGGGATGGGACGGGACGGGACGGGACGGGATGCTCCTCACCTGGGCACGCTTCAACGTCATGTTGCGGCTCTTCTGCAGCTTGCTGAGGAAGAGGATGGCGCCCTTGGTGCCACGGGATGACAGCGACTTGGCAGCAACATCCTCTGACCCTGTAAGAAGCAGGGACATGACTACCCTCAGGTGGTGCAGTGAGATGGGGACGCCTGGCCTTCCCCAATCCCCTATCCGGGGTGCTCAGGACGAGGAAGGAGCTGGGATGATCCCCCCACCACGGCCGGCAGAGGCACATGGCCATGCCCAGAGGCTCCCACCTGGGGAAGGCTTGAAGGCCTCGTAAAACTGGCTGAGGTAGGTGATGAGGCCCAGGCGATCGGCCTCCGTCATGGAGGCCATTTCGGCGCTGGAGAGCACGGGCTGGATGCCCAGCTCCTGCTCTGCCGCATCCAGCAATTTCTGGTGCCTTTGCACGGGCTCCAGCGCATCCAGGGAGTCAAAATCCCTATGGAGAGACGGGGCAGGGTGAGGGGGCCGGCTCAGCGGGGCTGGGG